GAGGAGACGAATTGTTGAATAAAGTCGTTATTTTTGTTTTCTTTGTGCACAAAAAGTATTCTTGTAGCTTCGTAAAATTACGGTTGAACCATTGATGTCACATGGATTATTTTAACGATCTCCTTGCTACGTTTCTGAGCCTTGATCGTGTTAGGATCCTTGCTGTCTATGGAGGGTCAGAGAGCTAGAATGCATCAAAAATATCTTAATTTGTGTTCCGAAGATGAACGAAGGTCTTACGGGTTTCGGAACAACATGAGGGTGAGTAATTAATGACAGAATTTTCATTTTTGGGTGAACTATTCCTTTAAATACCTTCAAATATTTCTTAAGTTAAATTAAAAATTGAAAATTAGAGTGACTTAAGTTTTTTAGTATCCAACTATATCTAAAAAAGAAATGTATTCAGCACAGGTGTGTTTTGATGTTTGCTGTGGCAGGTCTATTGGTCTACATTTGAGATATGTATTTTATCTTTTGCTATGGTTATTATCTCTATACCAATCATCACAATTTCAGGAGTGACTCACACAACAATATTAGTGGACTCACTCCCAAAACGTATTTAAATTGCTAAGGCATTATACACAGAAAAGCAAGCAAAAAGCGCTCTCTATACTGTAAATCACAGAAGCTGTCAATCACTTCAGTTCAGCATGAGCTCATGCTGTACACTGCACAATCAATCTCTTATTTAAATCCTATCTTCACTCTGTTACAACAAAAGGATCCGCAAGCATGTAGAACTAGTCAGTGAGATCATTCAGCAGTTTGGGTGGTATTGGGCAAATCTGACTAACTTTAACACCTCTTACAGACCTTAGATCCCATACTGAATTTCACATGGATGAAAACGAGGCTGTGAGGGACAGACTTGCTGTCTTTACAATGAGACAGCATTGCATCCTAGATCAACATTTTCACAATTCACAATTTTCAAAACTGTTTCGTAAGGCTTTCGTCTACTGAAATTGTTTTTCAGAAAGAAGTTTTGTCAGCTGTATGTTATTGAACAGCAGTACAATCCATCGAACAGACTACTTCTATCACACAAAGCCTCGTTTTCATTCATGACAGTAATTAAATATGGCGCTACCCTGCCTCAGGCCTATTGGCCATTGCTTTCAACTGACATGTCTGTGATGCTGCAAAAACAAATTGTAAATAGAAACATTTGCCTCTGTAAATAGAAACTAAAGTGCACACACATATAGGACTTAGAGTGGGTTGTACTTAATTAGTAATTTTGTACTTAAATATTATCAAAATTCGAATTTAAAATGCATAATTTCAGTTAGGGTGAAGAAAAGCTTTTGGCTTCTCTCCTGAGGCCACAAGAGGGCGCATCGAACAAAATATTACTAATGCACGTTTATTCAAAGCATAAGATAACATGACTATCTGTGAAAAAAGTGCATAATGTTTAAAATAATGTTTAAAAACAAATTAGAATGAATTAAGTTGCTTAAACAACTATAAACAAAACAGCATCATGCATGTATGCATAGTTTAATACAAAGGACCGAAATCACAACCCCCGCCATAAAGTCTTAAGATATGTTTTTTTCAAAGTTAAACTTGCATTAATTTTACATGGCTTTTTTAATTTTTTGACGCGAGTGCAACGGTGATAGATGTCCGTCTAGAAAATGCGTCAAATATGCGTTCTGTGTGAATGGCTTGGTTTCAGTTTTGATGTAAACAAGATCTTCTCCGCATTGATGTTCTCTTTTTCCGCTATATTTTTAATGAACAACGCAGCAGCGCCGCATCTAGTGGCTTCAACTGGACAGGCTAACAAATACATTATAATGCAACGACACTTACATCGTCATCGCATCTCGTGGCCGCTGATAAGGCTGCCTCCTTAACGCACACCTAAAATTCGAATGCAACGTTTTTGCATTCGAATGTGGATATTTATTTTAAATTCGACTTTTTTTTTTTGACAGCCCTAACCTCCACCCCAATTTCAAAAACTGATTAACAAATCAACTAATCTACATACTCATACAAAAGACCCATTATGATTTTTGCTGAAAAGTGACAAGCATGCATCCCTGACTCGTATACACACACACTCTCAAGTAGCCAAGACTGCAAGTGTGGGTATTAGGACAGGCCCAAAGTGAGATGCATGTTCTCCATCTTCTATCACTCACCACCAAGTGCAGAGAGTTCATGGCCACTACCTCCTCCGCTGCCCAGAGCGCCTGGCATGGGGGGGTTGTTCAGGTACTCGTTGACTTTGCGACAGTACTCCTCATCTTTATCGGTTTTCGGCTCCTTTAGAGAGATGAGAGATGGAACAGCAAGCACAAATGTGACTTGAGCCGATCAGGTATCACAATTCCCTTTAAGTGCATCATTTCGTTATATTCTGACAAAGCATATCTGAAATGCTGCATGTCAGCATGCAATGCAAGCATCACGAAATACTGTGCTCTGCAATCTTTTACTCACCTGCATCCAAAAGAACAGCCTTTTAGAGCCGGCCTTGAACTTCAGCACATATACACGTCCTGTAGTGCACTGGTTCACCCGTTTGAACTCACAGTCATCCGGGAATATTATCAGATCCTACAACACAAAATCAACAATCAGACTTTGATATCCATATAAAACATCATCGGTTGCATGCTAAACAGTAAACAGCCCTCACATCCTCCACATTTCCAGAGGTCCTGTCCTTCCAGCAGAAGTGGATGAGAGAGTCGTCTGTCTGCTGGATGTAGACGGTGCCTTTGCGCTTGTCCGGGGTCACTGTGCTGCCCTTCAGGGTCATTTTACCAGCCCTGAACTCAACCAGATATTTACTGGATGAGCTGCGGGAGCCAGAGACCAGACTGGGGAACAGAGCGCCAGATGACATCCTCACTGCTGGACAGACAATGCAAACGGTTATAAAAAAAAAGTTTAAAACACACAACATCATTTCAAGCTCTTTTTCAACGGTTTTATCAGATAGCTCAGTGCTCACCTTCATCACAAGGTTGATAAACAACATGAAGCTTAAAGATGTGAGCACAGTTACTCAGCAAGATTTATTAGCACTCTAGCTAGCTTCAAAAGACAACAACTGGCTTGTATATGTACAAATATACATTTACATGTTAACTTAAGATATAATATAGCACCATAATTAACAGTTTCACCCTCAGGTTGAAGATGTAATCATTTTTGTATTGTTTGGCTTCTGAAGCACTTCACTCTATTAGCATTAGCTGCCATTTAAACAACTCAACAGTGACTGTGCATTTTATTTCCGATGCGTATTTAAACGCATCACGCCGCTGTAAATCTGACAATAACATATTGTAATAAAAGTGTATCATACCGGTGGATACGTTTAGTCTTTCGTGGATTCCTTCAGCAGATATGGGTCTTTTTAAGGGACACTTGCTGAAGAGTTGCAGATAGACTGGTGAAAAGTGGCATGAGACTTCCTGTATCCTGTTAGTCGTGTTCCTATTGGTCACGTTCGTGCGTAAGGAAGCATTTGATTGGCTGAATAACATGTCATTCTTGTGCCTTTCTTTTTATGCACACTCACCTAATTCAATGTAATATCTACACTGTACATTTTACAGTGATGCAAAAAACGTTAGTAGCACTTTGTCCTGAGGATATCTTGGCCACGAATTAGTTTTCACGACTGAGAACAAAATGTACAGGTTTCTCACAGCTTTACACGAATCTCAAACTTCTTATACGTCAAACTCAAACATATAATATTCTCTTCTGTCAACATCAAACTTTAGCCTCATTCACATGACACACAAAACCTGACAAACACACAGACTACTGCCTAGAGAAGACGTGAGATCAGTGAGATCATTTAAAACACTCCAAAAGCCTCTTATTGGGAATCAGAAATCATTCTATTGCTCAGTATCTATTACATGGAAGGGTGCAGATACAACAAGAAAACAGTCGCTTTAAAGCAGTCATTTATTCGTTCGTAAAGAACGGGGGTTTCCCCCCATTTCGCTACACTGCTTTTCTGTTGTTTTTCTAGTAAACATGAATAAGTTTACATTTTTTTTTTTAAAATGTCTAACCTACTTTTGATAACTTGTTTATATTTTTATTTATACCCATTTATGTGTTTGTTGCTGAACGAACACACCTCTAAAACCAATTAAAATTACACGAATTTGCAGGAAAAATTATCACTACAATTATTTATTAAAGTCATTTGGGTTTTTGGGACCCCAAACATGTTGGCCCTCTGGAGGGCAGTCCTTGAGCGCGCCATCAAAGATAAGCTCAATTAGTATTTTGTATATTGTTGCATACCACGTTTACTATTTAATTCAGACTTTTATTTTCTAGTGCTTTTCATCTACTGTAAGATCCAATTTGCAGTATATGAAAAAGTTTTGATGAATCGTTCAAAAAGACTAACGAGAATGCAAAAAGAGGGGGAAAACGAACTTTCAATCTGGTACATCAACAGTTCCACTTAGTATGTACAAAACCACATTTCGATGAGTACAATACATGTAAAACATGCATTCAGTATCGCTATCGAAATAAAACATTTTTATTTAATTGCTCATCAATACCAATATCTACAATATTATAAACCACAAAGACTTCTTCACAACACTATTAATGCCCATCCAGTAGTGCAGATTTCTTGCTTTTAAAGGAATGAAACGGAGAGGTTTTATCAATGTATTTTTTTTATTATTATTCCAAAAGAATCAACATGTTCAAACTAAAATTTCAATTAGTAGAATTTGTTCTCACCAGTATGACATCCCCATTAACTCTGTTCAAAAATGAAGTATAACCCCCATCTCACAGAGAAAATACCTTTCGACACATTTATCCAAAAAAAAAACAAAACTATGAAAAATAAATCATTGCACAAAATAAGGAGCTATGTGCTTGTGATTGCTAGAAATCTATGTGCAACGTCTTGGAACATACAGACATTCATACATATGACATCCGGTTATTCCAGTTACACAATAAACTGACACAAAGCCGCATAAAAACAAAATCTATAGTTTAATTGTGGAATATTCGTTTTAGAACGCTAGTTTTCAAATAATCACATGTACATTTAATGAAGGAACAGATACAATACAGGATGCAAAACAAGTAGTGTACTGAATGTCGTGTATCTAACAGACACGGACTATATTTAGACATTCCTGTTTACGTTTAGACGAGGGGAAAGGTGGTTAGAAAATCAAATAAAACGTCGAACATATTCAAATGAATCACCCTTAAACGGGGAACAAACAGCTCAAGATGAAGTACTAGTGAGTGACTCACAGGTGCATTGAAAGTCAGGCACTGTGGGAAATAAAACACGTTTATGTACTTGAGAAGAGCAACAATGGTTGCATCGTTGTGCTTCAAACCCGCTCATTTGACCTGCACGCTTCAGATCGTCTCTACATGAAAAGAATCGCTTTTATGGTCTGAATGCGTACGTGAAAAGGTGTAAAATACTTTTCATGGCATCTACAGGCAGCAAACATTCTCTCAAATAAGATTCATGTTATATGTACACTTCCATAAGCTGCCATTCTGTACGTTCATTATTATGTGGGGTTTGATAGGTTGCATAGATTTCGCTAGTTTCTCAAATACACAGCGTACACGTCTATATTTGAGAACAGTGATAACAGATGCAAATGCTAATGAATAAAATAACCCATGACACCCTAGTTTTCATAAAACAAATTCAATTGATAGTGCTTGAGGAACAATTTAGTGTGACACCAATACATTAGGAAAAACTGTGAAATATGAATATGTACATTTACAGTATGTCAACAAAGCCTTATTGAATGTTGGTACAATCAGCCTATTTTACACCCCATGAGTCTCTGTGGAAACAACCAAGTGAAAGGAAAGAAGAAAAACGCTTCACCATAACGAACACGTGATGAGGCTATTTCACATAAATTTAATCTGAATCTGAAAATCCAAAAGGCAAAATATTGTACCAATTAAAATAAAATCTATGGCTTTTTACATTAATTGCCACAAGCGCGCACACACACACACCTTCACGAACCCAAAGTTCATTATTAACATTCATCATCATTCTCTAAACATTATTACTGCTGTTAGTTCATTTAATGCTTCATCACCTTCACGCTCTACATACAGCAGGATCAGAGGTGGCTCAGTGTTTGCCAAACTCAAAACATCTGGAATTAGTTTTCATATGTTAAACACCTACTGTACATGGAAAACGGCCAAAGCACTTCAGAGTCACATTTTATTGGTGATATAACTACATCTATATTGAGCTGCAGCATTGCTGACGGCAAACAAACTGGATCTCTGATGAGGGGTTTGTACGTTCAAAGGCAGAAAAAGGCAAATTGGTTCTCCTACTGCGGTTTCGATGCTTTCCTCCATTGATAAAACCTACAGGGTTGATGGGAAGTGAGAGAAGACGCTTCCAAAGGACAAAAACAATCATAAACACAAGTGCTGAAGATGGAGGCAGCTCAGTTTAATGTGAGCATAAGCGCTATCGTTGTTGATGGTGCATCGTGTAGAGGGTTGTTGTAGCCGGGGAGAGAGAGAGAGAGAGGGAGGAAGGTGACAAAACCTCTTTGAACTTGCACCTCCTCATCAGTAGATATCAGGACAGTCTGTGTATTTCCTATCAAAGTAGCCGCCAGTGTACAGCCAGTCCTGTGATCCTGTATATGGATTTGTGCCTAACTGAAACCACCTAAAAACAGTAGGGGAGGTTCAAAATATTGCATAAATAACCGTAAAAACAGTAAAGAAGGAGCAGCACTAACCTAGTCGACCACTCTTCACCATCTTTGGCCAGCTCTTTACGAGCTGCTCTCTGCTTCTCTTCCAGTCTCTCCTTTTCTCTGCTGGCTTCATCTGCACAAACACGCACAGTCAAAGAAATCAAATGTCAGGGTTTAGCATGCGTGAACAGCAGGGGGCGCTGTAGGGCTGGTTTTGGGTTTTAATGACTTCATTACCCATGTTGCCGTTCTCCATGGCTCTGATGTCAGGCCGCAGGCGGCAGTCTGTTGGTGCCAGCACTCCTTCCGTGCCAGGCTCCAGCTCATTCAACGTCATGGCAAAATTAGTGAAGTTATACATCTAGAAGTGAACAGAAGGGGTTTGGAATCAGGTAGACCACCATTACTACACTAGTGTTTAAGAGTTTGGTGTCAGTAAAATGTATGTTCTGTAAGAAATTAATACGTTTATTCAGTAAGGATGTGTTGAATTGATCAAAAGTGACAGTAAAGATATTGATAATGTTACAGAAGAATTCTTTTAAAATTTCTATTCATCAAAGAATACTGAAAAAAACATGGCTTCCACGATAATATTAAGCAGCAATATTACATTTTCAACACTGAAAATAACAAAGAAAAATATTTAGAGCAAATCAGCGTATTAGAATGATTTCCGAAGGATCGTGTGACACTGAAGACTGGAGTAATGATGGTGAAAATTCAACTTACATTTTTAAATGACATTCAAATAGAAAATTATTTTAAATTTAAATATTTCACAATAAAATGTTCTTACTGTATTTTAAACAAATAAATGCAGTCTTAATGAGCATAAGAGGCTTAAAAAATAATAACTGCACCAACCCCAAACTTTCAAACAATAGTGTACTTCACTTTTTAAGGAATCATCCGTTTGTTTGTTTGACTGGTTTTTCACTTAAAGCCATGTGTTGATGTGTCTGTGCCTTCAGGCCTCTGCACATGAACATAACAGTGAGTGTGTGTGTGTGTGTGTGTGTGTTGCGACAGTACTCCTCATCTTTATCGGTTTTCGGCTCCTTTAGAGAGATGAGATAGAACAGCAAGCACAAATGTGATGACAGCTGATCAGGTATCACAATCACCTCCGAGTGCAACATTTTATTATATTCTGACAAAGCAAATCTGAAATGCTGCGTCGCAAAACGCTACAATCTTTTACTCACCTGCATCCAAAAGAACAGCCTTTTAGAGCCGGCCTTGAATTTCAGCACATACACACGTCCTGTAGTGCACTGGTTCACCCGCTTGAACTCGCAGTCATCCGGGAATATTATCAGATCCTGAAACACAAAATCAAGACTTCGATATCCATATAAAACATCGCCGGTCGACCGCTAATAGTAAACAGCCCTCACATCCTCCACATTTCCAGAGGTCCTGTCCTTCCAGCAGAAGTGGATGAGAGAGTCGTCTGTCTGCTGGATGTAGACGGTGCCTTTGCGCTTGTCCGGGGTCACTGTGCTGCCCTTCAGGGTCATTTTACCGGCCCTGAACTCAACCAGATATTTACTGGATGAGCTGCGGGAGCCAGACACCAGACTGGGGAACAGAGCTCCTGATGACATCCTCACTGCTGGACAGACATTACAAACAGTTAAAACACACAACATCATTTTAAGCCACTTCTGAATTAATAAAAAAGCAGGTTTTATCAAAGAGATCAGTGCTCATCTTCAGCACATAGCTGATAAACAACATGAAGCTTAAAGATGTGAGCACAGTTACTCAGCAAGATTTATCAGCACTCCAGCTGGCTTCAAAAGACAGCAGCTGGCTTGTATTTGTACAAATATATTATTTTACATATTACCTTAATATATACTATAGTACGACAATTACCACAGTTTCACCCCCAGGTTGAAAATGTAATCATATTTTCATTGTTTGGTTCACTCAATTAGCATTAGCTGCCATTTAAACACCTCAAGCTCAACATGACTGCGCATTTTGTTTCCGATGCGTATTTAAACGGTTCTCGCCGCTATAAATCCGATAATAACATATTGTAACAAAAGCACATCATACCGGTGGATACGTCTAGTCTTTCGTGGGTTTTCCAGCAGCAGATATGGGTCTTTAAAGGGACACTCGCTGAAGAGTTGCAGACAGACTGGCGAAAAGTGGCACGAGACTTCCTGTATCCTGTTAGCCGTGTTCCTATTGGTCACGTTCGTGCGTAAGGATGTATTTGATTGGCTGAATGACATGTCATTCTTTGCATGCAGCATCTGCTGTGTCATTGAGTGCAGACAGAGCCGCTTTCTTTTCATGTACTCACCTAATGATTAGTGCAATGTAATATTTTCATTGAATAGTCTTTAAGGAAATGTTTTCTACCGTTTGTAGCACTTTCACATGAGGTTATAATGTTGGTCAAGTTTATTTGCACAAAAACGTAGTATGAATGAGTTTTCACAATTGAGAACAAAATGTACAAATTTCTCAAGCACAAATATAAACTCAAATTAACGTCAAATTAAAAAAAATATATTCTCTTTTGTCAAAATCAAACTTAAGCCTCATTCACATCATGACACAAAACCTAACAAATACAGATTTACTCCACTGCCTAGACCAGTGAGATCAATTAAAAAAATACTACAAAAGCTTCTTGTATATTGACAGTTCCAGTTAGTGTGTACAAAACCACATTTCTATAGGAGTGCAATACATTTATACCGTGCTTTACATTCAGCATTGCTATCGAAATAAAACACCTTTTTATTTAATTGCACATCAATATCAATATTCAGCCTAATACAATATAAAATATTATAAACCACAAAGAATTTTTCACAACACTATTGATATCCAGGTAGTAGTGCAGAATTCCTGCTTTTAAAGGAATGAAACAGAGAGGTTTTATCAATGCAATTTATTTTATTTCAAAAGAATCAACGTTCAAACTAAAATTTCAATTAGTAGAATTTATTCTCACCAGAATGGCATCCCCTTTAACTCTGTTCAAAAATGAAGTATAACCCTCATCTCACAGAGAAAATACCTTATGACACCATGATCAAAAAAAAAAAGAAGAAAATTCAATACTATAAACATAAAGCATTGCACAAAGAAAGGAGCTATGTGCTTATGATTGCTAGAAATCTATGTGCAGCATCTTGGAGCATACAGACATTCGTACATTGAAAATATGACATCCAGTGAAGAGGAACACTTAGTCATTCCACTTACACAATAAACTGACACAAAGCCGCATAAAATAAAATCTATAGTTTAATTGTGGAATATTAGTTTTATAACGCTATTTTTCAAATAATCAAAATGTACATTAAATCAAGGAAAATATACAATACAGGATGCAAAACAAGTAGTGTACTGAATGTAATGCGTGTATCTAACAGATGCTGAATATATTTTGACATTCTTGTTGACGTTTAGTACTCAGACGAGGGGAAATATGGTTAGAAAATTAAATAAAATGTCTAACATATTCGAATAAATCTTAAAACACCTTTAAGTGGGAAACAAACGGCTCAAGATGAAGTACTAGTGACTCACAGATGTGTTCAAAATCAGGCACTGTGGGAAACAAAACATGTTTGTGTACTTGAGAAGAGCAATGATTGCATCAGTGTGCTTCAAACCCACTCATCTGACCTGTACGCTTCAGATCATCTCTACATGAAAAGAATCGCTTTCATGATGAAGGAGTATATGATTAGTTGTCAAATACTTTTCATGGCATCTACAGGCAGGAAATATTCTCTCAAATATTTACACTTACATAAGCTGCCATTCTGTACGTTCATTAAGACTGAAATATTATGTGGGGTTTAAGCAGTTTGATGGGTTGCATAGATTTTGTCCCGTTTCTCAAATACACAGTGTACATGTCTATGTTTGAGAACGGTGATAACAGATGCAAATGCTGATGGATAAAACAACCCAAGACACCCTACTTTTCATAAAACAAATTCAATGGACAGTGCTTGAGGAACAATTTAGTGTGACACCAATACATTATAAGACCTGTGAAATATGAAAATGTGCATTTACAGTATGTCAACAAAGCCTGATTAAACAACAGATTAGTGTCGGTACAATCAGCCTATTTTACATCCCACGAGTCTCTGCTGAAACCACGAAGTGAAAGGAAAAAAGAAAAACAGCTTTGAGACCATTTTTAAAATGCATGATGAGGCTATTTTACGTAAAGCTTAATCTGAAAATCCAAAAGGCAAAATATTGTACCATTTAAAACAAAAGCTATGGCTTTTTACATTAACTGCCACAAGCGCACACACATCTACACGCACTCACAGTTCATTATTAACATTCATCATCATTCACTAAACATTACGTCGTTATTTCATTAATGCTTGATCACCTTCACGCTCAAACATCTGGAATTAGTTTTCATATGTTAAACGCCTACTGTACATGGAAAACGGCCAGAGCAGTTCAGACTCAGAGTCACATTTTATTGGTGATATAACTACATCTTTATCAAGCTCCAGCATCACTGACAGTGAACAAACTGGAGCTCTGATGAGGGGTTTGTACGTTCAAAGGCAGAAAAAGGCAAACTGGTTCTTCTACTGCTGTTTTGACGCTTTCCTCCATTGATAAAACCCAAAGGGCTGATGGGACGTGAGAGAAGATGCTCCCAAAGGACAAAAGCACAATCATAAACGCAAGTGCTGAAGATGGAGGCAGCTCAATATTAATGAGAGCATAAGCGCTATCGTTTTCGGTTGGATACGATATGGTGCATTGTGTAGAGGGTTGGTGTAGATGAGGAGAGAGAGAGAGAGAGAGGGAGGAAGGAGGTGACAAAACCTCTGCCCTTTGAACTTGCACCTCCTCATCAGTAGATATCAGGACAGTCTGTGTATTTCCTATCAAAGTAGCCGCCAGTGTACAGCCAGTCCTGTGATCCTGTATATGGATTTGTGCCTAACTGAAACCACCTAAAAACAGTAGGAGAGGTTAAAAATATTGCATAAATAAAGCACAACACACACACACACACACAAAGCAAGCCGTAAAAACAGAGCAAAACTAACCTAGTCGACCACTCTTCATCATCTTTGGCCCGCTCTTTACGAGCTGCTCTCTGCTTCTCTTCCAGTCTCTCCTTTTCTCTGCTGGCTTCATCTGCACAAACACGCACAGTCAAAGAAATCAAATGTCAGGGTTTAGCATGCGTGAACAGCAGGGGGCGCTGTAGGGCTGGTTTTGGGTTTTAATGACTTCATTACCCATGTTGCCGTTCTCCATGGCTCTGATGTCAGGCCGCAGGCGGCAGTCTGTTGGTGCCAGCACTCCTTCCGTGCCAGGCTCCAGCTCATTCAACGTCATGGCAAAATTAGTGAAGTTATACATCTAGAAGTGAACAGAAGGGGTTTGGAATCAGGTAGACCACCATTACTACACTAGTGTTTAAGAGTTTGGTGTCAGTAAAATGTATGTTCTGT